GAAGGCTATTGATAGACAATGTATCATTTAGCGGGGCTAGGACAGCCCAGCATATATGCCTGCGACCAGTTACACGGAACAGGATACAATGGTCGGGTGATTCATGCGTAGTTCTTCCCCGGAAACGTACATTGTGGGCTCCCAGCATGTTTGTCTCGGGTCATATTATTTGGGTGAAAAAATTTAGGATTTCGTTAAATATATTCATTTGCAAATCAATTTGGTTTTCACAATAAACTCAACTGAATCTCTCGTTTAAGATATTCTACAATTGAATGTGCTGTAGACAGACCGCCTCATGTTTCAGTCGGCACGACATTCGAGATATTGCAGTATATTCCCATAAAGAAATCTATTCACAAAGTTGCTGAAAACTCTCCGACAGCCCACGACCGGTTTCTGTCTTCTTGAGACTCATCAGGTAGGCGCAGTCCCCGAGTTTCCGTCAATCTTATGTTCTATGTGAACCCGAATCGGGCTGATGAGCCCCAAGAAGGACCAAACCCGTCTTGGGCTGCCGAAGAGTGTTCAGCAACCTTGTGAATAATTTCCTTTAATAAAATTTAGGATTTATTTTACGCCCTGGATGACAAATTGGTTGTGTTTATATGATCGAACCGGGATCCCGCAACAATCCAGCCAGGTATCGGTGTAACCAGCCTCGAAAACGCTGCAGGAACTTTAGCCTGAATGATTAAGTTCGAGGAGAAACAGCCCTGGTGTCTCATTATGTGAATGTCTTACGTTTTCATACCAGCGTATTAATTTTATGTATTATTATCAACCTGCAGTTCAGGATCCATTAGCACTTTCTCCATATGTAATACTCTACTGTGTATGACCGCGTCGAATTCTTTCGCGAGATATTCACCATTACCTTGTAATATTCAAGAAGTTGCATTCATTTCGGATAGTTTTCGAAAAAAGTACGTCCCTGGAAGTGGTACAGTGCTCCAGAACATGCAATCTATCACGCCATTTGCAGTTGTATTGAAGACTACGGAATACACCATGGCTTTTGCCTTGTTGGACCCACATGAGACGTACAGTTTTTCCCCATAATCAGCACGGATTCTGCTAGTAAGGGTGGCGTCTGAATAATCTGCTATGGGCCTGTGATGAGTGGAACCAAACTTCTAAAAGCAACTGACCGGGCCTAAAAAATGTAAAAACCGCGGTGAAATTAAGACCATGCTTTACGTTCTGGATCACCATCCTCACATTTTGCCAAGTGTGTAATAAATTCTTTCTGATTTTAGCGATATTTTGTACGGTTGTTTTGTTATTCTTCATACACCGAGGAATTAACAGTCATCTTACAAACTGTAGATGGTATGAAGTGTACTACCAAGCTCCGGTCTTATTCGAATTTGCCGCCCTCGATCAGTGTCTAAGACATAGTCTCCCCCATGTAATTCGCTATGTGAAAACCTCCCCAGACACACTAGATCAACACTTTCTTCAAGACTGCACTGTCGGAAATGAGCCAAGCATAGGCACACAGGTTGATTCCTACTGCTTCGTGAAGCATCTGAGGCCTAAAAAATTAGTATGTCGGAATTTCGTGTTCCTGGAGATTTACCGTGGTTATTTTAGGAATTCGCTGGCATTCCTAGCATCCAGCTGGTACCACAGTTGAAGTATGCACAGATGGTGTGGAAAACCTAAGCGCTGAAAAGTAAAGAACGTTGGGAATGTTACAAGCTCCCGAGGAATCATCAGAATGGCACTTTGTAGTATTATATATCCATGTGGTAGCCATTCTTAACGCACTCATACACAAAGTGTTGTACCGTGCCTGAGGAACACACGTGAAGCAACAGTTGTTCGCTAGCTCCAGCACTGTTATTCTGGTATCTAGAAGCTTGAACGTCTTCGTTCTCAACCTCGGATGGTATTTGCCCTGGTTGAAACTCGGAAATTTTTCGCAAAATGTGCAACGCGTTACCACAGCGTTCAGCTGTAGCACCCTTCCGGTGCCTAGCTGCCATGCCACCCGAAGGAAGCACGAGGGCTAGGATACTGCCAGGTTGCCCAAGCCTAGACAGGGGGAGTCGAGTGGCGGAGGTCGGATTCGAACCACGGACCTTGCGGTCAGTAAATTCGCGCTCTAACCACTTGGGCCATCTCGCAACGCGTTACCTGGTGAGCTAGTCTCTGTCATCCCCGAAGAGGCATTCAGAATCAGACAAAAGCAAATTTAAGCCTCATGTAAAACAGCAGTGTCAATGCATCCTGCCAAGCGCACCCATACCACACAAAAAACTGCCTGTTGACCACCCACTCATTTTTATGGTTCGGCTATTAGTTTTTTCGTTAACCTTCTAATCCACTTACCACATTGTGGGTATGTGTCGGTTTCGTTCACGATTAAAGTCCAGCAATGGCTTAAATGGTACCAATCAGGAGGTCGAACCAAGTGGCTGATAGCGACTTACCGGCTGGGTATGTATGGCCTGCATTAGCTGGAGCACATGATTGGATCTTGGCCGGGAAATTCAGCTGATCGTGGGTCAGCAGAGCTGCCTGGAATCATGGGAACGACGAATATTCCACTTCACGATTTTCATGTGACTCGAAACAGGAGGAAAATGACACAGTCCACAATGTTTTGTTTATATTGTCATTATGATACTTGCGGCAAAAACTCGTGTTGGCTTACTGGCTGAAATGGGAACAATTTTTGCAACGTCGTTTGACCGGGTATTGAATAAACTGAAGCTTCAAATTCAAATTTTTGTAGAAAAGTTTCTTCGTATTTTTTAATTTGAAGCTGCACACTTGAAAATGCAAGGGAATTTTCTATCGGTTCTCGAAATTCGAGAAGGTGTGGCAACTTGAACTAACCTCACCACACCTCTACGAGTTGGTGGAATTCCATTCTATGGAATGATACATATCAGATCATCCTGCAGGACTGATGTCAATTTTGGGAAGTTATTTCGTCTGCTCACCAGCCGTTGATCGAGCGTTTAATTAAATTGTCAGCTGGTTATAAATATGTTCAACAATGAGCTGCATTCCTTTTGTCAGCCGCGTAATCCTTTGGGAGGTGGGTTGCGAGTGGTAAACACACGGTCCCTCCGGACCTACCTGGTGAATCCACATGGGGAAAAAGCCCCTGGCAACTGAGCCTTTTGGAATCGAATATCACCTTATCCCTTGGGCATTTAGCATTTTTTTTTCCTCAATGGAGGTCATGAAAATCGTGGAGAACATCTGTCAAATGCCCTTCAAAAATGATTGAATACCTTGTCAGCTAGCTATTTTATTCTCGTTTACTTTGTAGTGCCTGTCACAGCGAAAGTTTTGCAAGATAAACCTTGTCAGTTTCTCGTGGCCTCATGTAAGAGATGCAAAACTGCACGGAGAGGTAGACTTTCATCTTGAAGCATCACCTTCCATCATTTCGCCAACAACTGCATGGAATGTTCTTCCAACTGAATCGAGGTCAGAAAGCCACTCCAATCACCAGGACTGACGACCCACAGTTGGTTCTTGTAGTTTACGAAATGGTACGTCTGTGGACAACAGGGTGATCGGATGACTATTGGCCTATCATCGAGAAGTAGTTAACTTACAGTAAGTCAGCGTTCCTGCTCTTGCAACTTCTGTTTCTCCCACTGTCGACGACCTCAAAACATTCTATACCAGTTTGCAGAGAACAGCTCTATCTAATGTGCCGCTAACAACCAACGACGAAAACGAACGCTCCATAACATGTATTACACAATGTTCGTACATTTCACGTCACGCTGAGTCCTTAACTATACTCGATGAACGTTCACAACGTTTTTGAGCAGTCTGCACTGGTTACTTCTGTCTTCTTGACTGTTGTAACTTGCGTGCAAAATGTTCTCTGAACAACGTATGAGCAACCTTAGTTCTGCATTTTGGAACGATTTATATGTACATTGATATCGCGGCTCGGGCATTTACCTCAGTGCTCCCGCAGAGTACATCATACGAATCTACAGTGACGGTTTACAGTTTCCAATTGTTTAAAGTACAATGATGATAGCCACTGATTTCTTTGCTCAGCTGGGCGATTGAGCTGGAAACGTCTCGGTACCAGCCGAAGTGATATCGTCAGTCCGCTTTAGGTGATAATGCCACGCACAGCACAATTTCATCCAAAAGCACTAACTGGTCCAGAAATGCTTGCTATCAAACGGAACAGCTCAGTGAACAAATTAGTGACCAGGAACACACTCAGCTAACTAATACGAAAGATTTTTGTAGAGAAATACGCCTATCCTGGCTGACCAAATCCTGGCGCGCAAAAAAGTGATGTGAATATTGGCACCAAATCGCACGCCCATGTTGAAAATAACTGAATATTTTTCACTCTCGCGAAATCAGCATTATTATGATTATATATTATATATATATATATATTATTATCAACATTATTATGGTTTTTCCTCAGACGATGTGATTTACACAGGAAATATCAAGACAAGACGAAGGAAAAAGGCCATAGGATTTCTTTTGAATGCGTGAAATGACTGGAGGGATATTTCCCCTCGAAATTCTATTACGCAGAAACTGATAAATGGTGTCAAACGCATCACTCAACTTTCAAAGCTCTCTCAAGTTCAGCTAGGCTATCAAAAACGCAGTAGATTATTTCAAACTGTTTCAATTTTCCTTCCTAAATACTTGTTTTAAATCAATTTCGGTAGCATGAATCTCTAAATTATCTAGTGGAAAATCGGGTTTTACCAGTTAGTACTTAAATTTCGTAAAAAAAAGTCTCCTTGATTTCCTGCTACGCAACAGGCCGGAGGTCTGTTAACCAATGGGGGGCAAACTTTTATGACCTTGCCAGTAGCCGCTAAATTACATAATCGATTTGCAGCACGGGGTGTATGCACCAAGCACGCTTGCGGCCTGAACCAATCGGGGACTTCGTGGGCAGCCTGACAGACAACACTTGCGTGACTATTTAATTCCACCTTTTGCATCCAAGGCAGTTCTGTCATTTTCAAGTTTATCAATTGATAGGCACTTTCGAAACAATTTTTCGCTCAAACTAACCAACAGATGGCAAAGCGTACTGGCTTCAAAGTATCCATTCTTACCCCTTGGACCCTGCTACCTGAGAATCTCCCTGTGGATCAGTGTGCAGATGAACAAGCGGACAAATTTGCGGACGTACTGTGCAGTCGGATTCGCACGAAACTGTTGCGTTTTTCATTTTGGCCCCGAGCACGTGGGGAAGCATACATACATTCGTCGTTCGACGCTTTCCAAGAACGCTTTCTGCAGTACTCCGAATACGCAGTTATTGTTTTATCAGGTCATCATGTGTCATGTTTGGACAGCATCTATCCTCGACTTCTCGTATTTTTCACCATGCGTCCATCCTGGTCGGCTCGCTTCCTCCTAGTATTTCTAGGAGAACCTAAGGGCCACTTTCGTTTCGACACCAGCGTTCTCAAGCATGACGCAATTACTTTCAACGGATCATCCGAAGATCACTGGTCATCGGACGAAGAGAGTTGGAGTAAGCTGTTCAGAATACTAAAAGGTAAGTGAAGTACCTATTTCAATGACAAAGAGATGAAATAAGCCGTCTATGAGTAAAAATTAAAGTAGTGGAATTTTCGAAAAAGTTTGGTGACAATCGGCAGATTTAGGATGTTTGCTGCCCTTTGTTTTGATTGGTTGGAAAATAAGGTTGACGAAAACTCAGAATGCACCTGCCTGGTGGGACTGTTCAGGAGTTCCATTAGCTTATGAGTGAAGCGTTCCGTGCAGAATGGTATGTTTTGTATTTTTACAAAACTACTCGTAGGGTTTACTGTTGTCTGTCCCAATCACTGCAGTTCACACAGGGAGCAGAAGATTTGCAAACACGGGAAATCACAACTTCCGGTAATGGTTTGGTTGGTCACACTAAGCAGGGTATGGGGCAAGCTTTGTTCCCCTGTTTCAACCAAAGAAGCTGGACAGTAGCAGTTAGCTCATCAGAAAATCTATAGATTAATTAAAACAGTAAATTTTGCAAATCTATTTAGGATGATTCTTGTGTTATGTGTCTTGATCAGCTGATAATTTGGCTTCGTATTACTGTATCAATACACAAAGATGGTACTTCCGTTAGGAGTGAAATTGTCAATGAACTGAAACATAGCCAGATTACCCGCTGACCAGGGAATGGGAGGGTACTGCACTGGTTTTTACGTATCTTCCATTGACACTGAAGAAAATATTATCATTCCGTTTTTGTTTCCCTCACCTACCAATGAAAATAACCTAAAAGGGAAATATCCTTGGATCTGCAACCTACGCCCTCATCGGAAGATTATTCTGCTCTTCAAGTGGAAGCAGTTCATTGGTCAGACACTCCATCAGTGTAGTAGCGTGTTGACGGGTAACAAACTGAATTGACCAATAAATTCATCCAGGCTGTCAGATCACTATCAATCTGAGTATGTTTGCTGTGTCGTAATGGGACAAACAAACTGTAAACTTTTCTACAGAGGAGAATGTCGGTAGCTCAGGTAGCGTAGATGGTCGTTGGCTTGTTCGCTGAGCTGGGCAATTTGGTTGCAAACGTTTCATCACCAATCGAGGTGACATCATCAGTGCGTAGTTTTGCGTAGCGGTGGGTAAGTGGTTGTGCGTTCAGTAGTGTTACGTGTGTGTTGATATACGTGCTTGTAGCCGGGGATCACCTTTGACCGCGATTAGTTATTCTGTCGGGCGGTTCCATTGGTTGTTCTTTTATCCTGTGTGCTCATTCGCCGACGCTCATGTGACCTTTGAACTTGGCATCCTTCGCCGTCGTAATCTGGTCCAGGTTGGAGTGACCTTTGTCCTTCCTAGTTCCGGCTTGTGACCTTTATTGATTTGACTCCGAGGAGTTCCTTGTTTCTTCGTTTGTGAATCCATTATTCGGTCCTCCTTGAGTGTTTCGGTTGCGATGTTGATCTCTCGCGCGTAGAGGTGCGTAAATTGGATCCAGTTCGATGCACCGGTTTATTGAACCTGTCGTAGAGTACCATGCTTCCAGAAATTCTCTTCCGTGTCGCGTGTCTCCGTATGCCAAAATTTTCGCGTTTTCCATGTTGAATTTGTGGCCTTCCTGGTCCTCGTGTATGGATATCAAGGACAGGGGGTCATGCCTCCTGACAGCCGCGTTGTGTTCCTTTATTCGTGTACATAATTTTCTCCCAGTTTGTCCAACGTAGAATTTGTTGCAGTCGTTGCAGTCGATTTGGTATATCACATTGTTCCTCTTGGTTTTGTCCCGGTTGTCCTTCGGTCTAGAGATTAATTTCCTTAGAGTAGCACTCGGTTTGTGGGCCACGAAGATTCCTTTTTGCGCCAATAATCTGGTTGCGAGTTCTGATATATTCTTGATGTAAGGTAGGACTACCCGTCTGGTGGCTTGTTCTTGCTGTGGCTGTTGTTGAGATGTCTTCTTCTTCTTCAAGCTTCTCTTGATAAAACTCCTTGGATATCCATTCTTCTGGAACATTCTGTATAGATGGTTTTCCTCCTTCTTCCGTAGTTCTGTGGTGCTGCAGTGTGTCTCCGCCCTCTTGAACAAGGTTTGGACGCAGCTCTTTTTGTGGTTTACTGGATGATTGCTGTTGTAGTTCAGTATTTGGTCCGTATGAGTCTCTTTGCGGTGTACGCAGGTTTCCAGAGTCCCGTCCACCTTTCTGTTCACTAAGACGTCCAAGAATGGTAGCCGATTGTTTCTTTCCAGTTCGATTGTAAACTTGATATCTTCAAACGTTGTGTTGAGCAGTTCATGTGCGTCGTGTACTGAATCCCGTCTCATGATGACAAAGGTGTCGTCCACTTAGCGGATCCGCTGCTTTGGATTGATGATCGACAGCATTGCACGCTCTTACCTTTGCATTACCGCCTCAGCAATAAATACTGATATTGAGGATCCCGTTGGAGTTAGTTTCAGCTGTTGATACATTTGTCCATCGAAGGTAAAGTATGTATCCAACAGTTTGCATAGACTTTCAGGTTCCATGGCTTCTGTCTTGTTTGGATTATTCTAAAACAGTTATACTATGGCTTTCCTGGCGAGGTTGTGGTTGATTGAAGTGAACAGTGATGTGACATCAAACGATCCGGATCGGAACACACAATCAAAAATGCAGGTCGATTTCTACGCAAACTACAGAACTTCAGTTTAGAAGACGATGAAGTCATGCAGGCAGCTAGGTACCGAAAGCGTTTTACAGCTGAACGAACGAGTGAATGGCATATCCCTATCGTTTGTGTTTTTCGTATTTCCTTCAAGATCTCTTACCCACTTTTTATTGTTCTAAATTTAACCCACACTATCATCAGTCCTAATTAGTGGAATTCCTCAAGAACACTTACTGAAACCAGTACATAACATCAACTCACAATCCTTGGAAGAAAACCTAGGTTTCATTTTTCTTCGTAGATTCAAGCCTTGCAAAATTTCAAGCTCCACCGCTCTGTTTCCAACAGTTTTGTGCGACATTTGCATTTTTAACTTTCCAAACTCGGGAACGGATTATTAATAACTCAGTTAGTAGACATTTAACGCGCCCGAGCTAACGAGATTCCGATACTGCCAAAAAGTTCGAACGTTTTGCCGTCAAAACAGTTTGCCGGTGGACTGTGACCCATCGACGGGCCACAACGGCTACATTTTTTCCATTACTTTCATCTTAACTGCATTCTTCCAAGTAGCGTCATGTAAGGATTAAAACTAAGTCATCCACGGACCCAGATATTGACTAAAATAGACCCTCAGCAGATAGTCAGAGTAGAGATTGCGGGTGTTGACAACCAACGAGGAAATGGTACCGATCAGAACGTCTGCCTGGGAACTGCACGGCCTTGATAACACTCTCAGGACTAAAGAAGAACCACGAAGACGAAGAAGGAAGAATCAACAATCGTTTCATCAGACAAATGAGATGTATGAAACAGAACGTCCCTAGCGGAGCTCTTCATTTTCGAGGAAGCCACTAATATGGAATACATTGTCACCTTAGAAGCGGTAGTGAAATCTACTGAACTCCGTTGAATACTTAATAACAATTCCGCCATAACATGGTTCCAGGTAATACAAGCTATGGAAAACACTTGGCCTTTTTCTAGTAAAGACGAGGTGGTGGAAAACCTAAAGAAAGACGAGTTGTCATCATTCTGTTAGCAGGTAAAGGAAGTTTGGCGGTAATCGTGGCCAAATCGAACAGCGGGAACAAAGCAGAAGCCCTACTCAAAGATGCTACTGGATAGTACCGTTCAGAAAATGAACAGGTCAATCAAACTGAGAACAAACTCAACACAAACCTCAAAAGACCTCACGACCTGCAAACAATCACAGGAGAAAAATACTGGATAAAAGAGTACTATTACAATTTTTTGATTAACTGGAGAGCATACGAATCACTCGATGTGAGCCGACCGTTCACAACTGTGGACCTTAATCCCGTGAAATTATCTGTTGCTGAATTTTTGCAAAACCGACAGAGTTTCACACTTAACTAACCACTTACCCTGAGTTGATTAGAGAATGCTACGAAAAAAACGAAGAAAGCGCCACTGGGATCGCTATTTTATGACTTCAGGACGTTGAGAAAAATTTATGGAATCCTCACGTGAGCGCCAAACTTTTTACTGCCAAAAACAAATGAATTATTAAACAAACTTTTGGCGACGATGGTTTGGAGGGTGGTAAAAGAAACTGACGGAAACAGACATTTTTGGAAGTTGTCAACACCAGCCTGCCGGTAAGATCACTGAAAACCGAAGCCTGCAAAAAACATACTTACATGAAGGACATTCTAAGCTACCGCGGTAATCATCAAGTCTGCTGTGAAGCTTTACTAGGATACTGTTGACGCGGACCAAATCAAAGAGCAACAACAAGGAATCCAAAATCAGAAAGAAAAAACTTACGAAGCATTCCAGAGATACAGCTATCCTAGACATTTCATGTGAATATCGTTGAAAAAGCAAAAATCAAATAGTCCAACTAGACAAAAAGCACACAGATGGTGTACATTCCCAAAAAATCGACAGCATTTCTGAAATGACCACAAGACTGTTACGATAGCTCACAAACCCATGAAATTGCTTCGGAAAGTTTTGTCGATGGCAAGAGGAGAATATTACACAATAAAAGATTTAGTGTAGTGCAATAATGCAAAAATTCACCATATTGCGCAAACACTAGGGTGTCACTAAGAAGCACCACCAGTTATCACGTGACCCGGTTCACGAAGATCCATGAACACGTGAAATCATTTGGAGACAAATACGCATACTAACCTAAACAGAAGTCAGTATGGAGGTAATGGATTAACGACATCCTATGGAAGGTCCATCAACAGCCCATGGAGGTCGACCCAGTCCACGAATCCATTAAGAAGAAGGAACTGCAAAACCACCAGCCCCAGAATTGCACAAGAAACAGCGGAAGAGACCCCAGGCGATGCTGGCGTAAAACTCAGTGGATAAAACTAAGATTGCCAGAATCTGGACCAAAACATAGGATAAACAAACAAACCAGAAGGT